GGGGGGGGGGGGTAGGTCCGCCTGCGGCTGGGCGTGCCGCAGGGCAGCCGCGACCGGGTCTTCCCCTTGCCTACAGCAGCAACGGCAGGCTCGTCCCTCGTCTCTGACTCGTGATCTCTCGACCTCCTCGTCTCTCCTCGTCTCTCCTCGTCTCTCCTCGTCTCTCCTCGTCTCTCCTCGTCTCTCCTCGTCTCTCGTCTTCTCGTCTCTCGTCTTCTCGTCTCGACTCACGCGGCTATATGGTCGCGGCGCCTCAGCTTTGGTTGCTGCGGCCGCAGCCGGATCAGCTGCCCTGACTTGACCTGAATAGGGAAGGCTCGGGGGAAGGCTCGGGTCAAGGCCTCGGAGAGGAGCCGGGATCAGCTGCCCTGGCCTGACCTCGCTCAGCTGGAGAGGACGCGCGCCGCCGCCGCCGCCGCCGCCGCCGGAGCCGGGCTCCTGCGAGCGGTCTGTGAGGACCAGCCCATCGCCGTGGTGGAAGAGGTCGCGCAGGGTCGGCTGTGGCCGCGATCGCTCCTCGGCCGCCGCCGCCTCGGCGCCGTCCTTGGATCCGCTCCACTCGGACGAGCCGCTGTCCGACCTGAGGAGGACAGTCGAGGAGTCATCGCTGGGGGTCAGACCCGCCCTCCAGTCCGACGACGCCGCCGCTCGGCCTGATGACGTGTCAAGGAGTGACTCCTCAGTCTCTCGCTTCTGGCAGAGGGATCCGCCCCCCCCCCCCCCCCCCCCACCCTCGTCGACCTGTCCGAGTCGTCTGACCAGCGCGACGAGGCAGCCGAGGAGGGCCGGTTGGAGCCCGTGTCGCGGTGCGCGGAGAGGGCGCCGCCCGACGTGCCTGCCGACCCGACCCACGTCCCGACCCACGAGCAGTGCGACGTCGCAGACTGCGACGGCGCAGAGTTCGGGTGCGACGCCTCGGAGTGGCAATCTGCACCTCCGTCACGCAACCGCTCGTACGGGCGGCCGTCGGGGCGCTCGCGCCGGCGCAGCCTCCTCGGCGGCGTGGCGCTCATCCGCGAGAAGCGGCGCGCGAACCTGGTGGCCGGTGGTGAGATCAAGAACGCAGCGTGGCGCTCCTCAGCGCAAGTCTCGGATAATCTCGCGCGGATCGGCGAGCTTGTGTTCGAAACGGCGACGAGACTCATAGCGCAAGGGCTGGCTACATCGACGCACCAGCGGCCGGTGATCTTCTTGGCGTCTGGCAGGACGAAGGATCGCTCGAGGCGGACGAACACGACGCGGAGGAGGAGGAGGAGGACGATGAAGAGGACAGAGAGGAGTGAGGCGACGCCCTCATGCCTGTTAATAATGGATCGCCTCTCAATTTGAACTCGGGCGGGGAGGAGGAAGGCGAGGCCCTCGTGCAGGTTTGCAAAGGCCCAGAAGAGAGGGATCACCATGAAAGTCGCGAGAGAAGTCGCGAGGATGGACCGCAGGTGCTCGAACTCCTCCTCCACCGCGTCCACGACGTACGAGAAGTGGGACGGAGGACCGTGCAGCGCGAGCCTACAGCGGAAGGTGCCAAGAACGTTCGGGGAAGGTGCTGCGCGGCGCGAGTGAGGGAGGGCCGTGCAGCACTAGCCGTGGCGCTAGCATCGAGATGAGCATCGAGCCCCAGCAGGAGAGGGAGGTCTGGAAGGTGCAAAACAGGATGAGGAACGGGAGGAGCAGCTCGGAGACGTAGTGCGTGTTTCCTTGCCCCCCGTTGCCCAGCAGGACCTGCTCGCTGCAGTCGAGGATGTCGTCGCCGCTGGAGAGGTCGACACAGTTCAGGTCGAACGACTCGTTGGCCTGGTCGATCAGGAAGGAGACGGTGCAGCCGAGCAGCAGCGCCGAGAGCGTCGCGATGTTGTTGCTGTTCGAGATGTAGTAGACGAGCTCGCGCTCCCGGATCTGGAGCATGCGCTTCCGGTACTCGCGCTCGAGCTTGTCCTTGTCGGCAGAGAGCATGGCGCGCGATCGAGAGCGCCCTCGTATGCCCCTTTTAGCTGTGCTCGACACAGCGGTAGGTCGTCATGAACGCCGTAATAAAGAATTACGGTCGGGGACTGGCACACACACCGGCACACCATCGGAGCCGCCTAAGCGACTCCGTTAAGAACGGCAATGCACTCTGCTCCGTGCACAATGCCGCTCTCCCCGCATGCTAGCTAGGCGGGAGAAGCCGCGAGAGCAAGGAAGGGATCGCAGCCGCCCCGGTGCCGCTTCCACACCCTTTCCGGTTCCGCGGTGGAAAGAATTTTCCGTGCACGACACTGGGCACGGGACTGGCGCGCACTGGCAGGAAAAGAATGTTACCACCTCCCTCTCACGACACTCCGAGTATCAGATAGGCAGAAACTCCTGCGGGGGCACCACCACCGCTCTCGGGCAACTCCAAGCGGCTTCACAAAACTCCCTGCTGGGACATGTGCAACTGCAGCGTTCTCGTGGTTGCCAGGCACAACGATGCAGATGAGAGGGGTTCAAGGCACCGTGTACAACACATTGAGCCTCACCAACCCTGCCCAGGACGTGAGTAGGGTGCACGCAAATCAACGGGTCCTCACACACACAGCATGCAGACAGACGTGGTTCAGCGGTCGCGACGACATGACTTGCTTTCCTACCGTGATGGCCATGATCGGACTGGCACCAAGCAACACCTGGCAAAGGTATCACCCCTTTTCCAGTGGAACATGATCTGCAAAACCGAGCAATCCGCGAGTGCCACTCCACATCTACTGGCGGCTCGTCTATGGTTTCGCGAGGGCCGATGCATCTCGTGTGCCCACCGACCAGCGATCGAGAAGAGCTCGCCTATGTTATGGAACGAGTCTGGCAGCCAATATGGTCGTGCAGGGCATGCGGGTACACAACGACGCCCGCCCCTCGTGCGCTGACCTCTCTCTCGAAGTGCACCACCTGCGCCGTCAGCGTCAGAACAGGGCTGTGGGGGGTGGGTTTCCAAAGTCGTTCCACGAGGGGTACTTTGCGAGTATCCTCGCGCTGACAAAGGGCGGCACGGCTGACGGCCGAAAGCACCTCCTCAGCTCCAGCTTGGGCAAGAGTCCCCACCGTGAGGTCATACAGCAGCAGCTGTCAGCATTACACCCGAGCAGACCGACACCAACATTGGCGATGGCGCCATTCAAACGAATTGATTGGGATTCGTACTCAGCACAGCGAGACTTGCGCAACCTGGTTCAGCGAAACCTATCGTCGCGTGGAGCAATGCGGCTCTGCGGACTGCGGTGCTCGGCGCGGCATACACAGAAAGAAAGAAAGAAAACAGACAAGCCAAGGGAGGGATGGGAGGACGGCACGCCGCCACCACACAGGGATTTTAACACACACACACACACACACACACACACACACACACACACACACACACACACACACACACACACACACACACACACATCACAGGAAAATTCTTTTTATTGGTGAGGAGTGCCTTGCCGTTCTTAACGGAGTCGCTTAGGCGGCTCCGGTGGTGAGCCGGTGTGTGTGCCAGTCCGCGCCAGTCCGCGCCCTTGTCGTGTCAGTGTGCTGTGAGAGATGCCGGCAAAATTCTTTTTACTCGAGTATCACTCGGCCCGCCGCATTTGGACGAACGGTTGACGGAGCGAGTCCAGTGAGCAGGCAGTCCAGGTAAACAAGCCGATGATGCGTGCGGCGACCGTGCTTGGCGTGGAGCGCGGCGCGCGCCCGCTGCCACGCTGGAACGCTCCATCGCTGCTACGCTGGAACGCTCCATCGCTACCGGTCCGCTCGCTGCAAGCACAAGCTTGCCGCACGCGTGCAGGGCACAGGTGCGGGTGGCGACGACCTGACGGCCACAGTACGCTGCGTCGGGGCGTGTCAAGTAGCACACCCGCCTCATCACGATTCAGCTCGTGGTGGCCTTCGGCTCGGCCAGAGTGGCCTGGCCACGCGGCATTCATCCTCACGGGCCTCTCGTTTGCCTCGCCCTCGGAGCTGTCGCTCCGATTGCTTGCGACCGCATCGTGCTCGTTTGCCTGCATATTTAACTATTACCATCCGATTGGCAAGACGCTGTGGCTGCCACTCCGTTGGAATGCCCTCTATCTGGCGCTCAATGCCTTCTACGCTTGCCGGCTGCTTTCCGAACGGTGTGTGAAGCTATCGGCGGAGGAGGAGCAGGGTACAGACAGATCTTCTCGCGCTCAATGAGTGCGGCCGACTTCCGCCGACTGTTTGCGCTCGGCCGCGAGGCTGCGGTGCGTGACATTGAAGACCGCGAGGTGATCACAAAGGGCATGCCCAACGACGTGCTGGTGCTGTTGCTCGACGGGACGGGCGTGATCCACCTGGGCGACGGCGTGACGATCGAGAGGACGGGTGGCCTCTTTGGCGAGGTCTCGTTTCTGCACGGCGAGCCTGCCTCGGCGACGGTGCGCCTGCAGCCGGCAAGCCGCTATATTTCGTGGCCGCGTGACGAGGTCTATGCGCGCTTGGGCTTGGGCGCGCAGCGTGGCCTCGAGCACGCGCTCTCACTCGAGGTGACGAAGCACCTCGCACAGACGTCTTCGCGGATGGTCGCGCTGTCGCACCCGGTGGAGTCGGCGGCCGCGTGGAGGGACGTGCAGGTCAGCCGCCTCCAGCGCGGCGGCAGCGTGGGTGGGCGAGCGCATAGCGAGGAACGGCCGTGACACGCGTGCATGAGTGGGATGAGGCTTTAACCTCAGGCTCAGCTCTGAGGAGACGGAGTGACGGGACGGCCGGCGTAAATAAAGCCGTACACCGGTCACCACACCACCACCAATCAACAACACCCACATCACCACCACAAACCCAGATTCGTGATTCCGCCGCGCGTCGGTTTGGACTCTGTGTTTCCTGTTTGGGGGGGTGGAGGGGTCCGGTGTGATGGTCGTTTATGGCCCTCCTATCACCCACTTACCGCCCCCGGCCGTGGGGGCCTCACCGAACGCCGCCATTCATGATTTCAAAGGGTCCTGCCGTCGCTCAGTCCGAATCACACGGTGGGGCGGACCTACCCTGGCTATCTGTCAAAAGCTCCGTGTACGGCTTACGCGTTACGGTATCAAATACGCATTCAATACTGTGTACACGACACGCTTTACGGCTTTAATCGCTGACAGACACATAGTGGATAGTGACCACGTGCTTTATACAAAACATCAACAAATGTCATTAATTACATAGAGCCGAGAAATTAGAGTCTTAAGCCTTACTGCCGAGATGCCTTCTCTCCGCTCATCAAAACTCCCACACGCGCTTCGCCTTTGGTCGGCTCGCCGAACGGTTGTACGACACGAACGAGTCCGAGTCCCACACGGGCGCCTCCCGCGGCGCGCGTGACGGAGGGGTGGGGCCTTCGTCAGAGAGGCCTACATGGGGTCGCAGGCAAGCGTGAAGCGACACCGGGCGCATAGCTGCAACAGCCCTCTCTCGTCGGAGGGGCCGAAAGCGCTCGACGCCGCCGCGCTGCCCGCCGCGCTGCCCGCCGCGCTGCCAACCTCGCTGCCCACCCTCGTTCCGCCCCCGACCGTGTCGGCGGTAGGCGGCTCGAGCCCCTGCTGCGGTGGCTGTGGCGAGGCGCCGCCCGCTCCATTGCCCGCCAGCAGCCCGCCGCTCACTCCGTCCTAGGAGCGGCAGAGTCGCCCAAGTCACGGCAGCGGAGAGGAGAGAGTCCATCGAATGCTAGCGATGCGGAGGTGCGGAGTGTGGGGTGTGTTTGGAGATCCGAGGTGCGGAGCTCTGAGATGCGGAGTATGCAAAGGAGGTGCACAGGTGTGCGGAGATGCCGGCGCCTTGACCTTTGCCCAGTAATCAAGGGTCGTGGGCGCCCCCCGCGACGGCACCTTCAACAACATCACCATCGGCGCTTTACGACATAGTACAACAATGGGGGGCGCCCGCCGCCCCCGGCGAGAGGACCTGAAGCGCCCCCTGCAGCAAGTCCTCCGGCTCCGCCGCCGCCGCCGCAATTATCGCCGCCGCCGCCACCCTCCCCCCATCCCTCTCCTGGGCATTCGAGAGACGGCCCGCCGCTTGTGATTCCGCCGCCTCGGACGCCGCCTCCGCCGCCTCGGCCGCCGCCTCCGCCGCCTCGGCCGCCTCGGCCGCCGCCTCGGCCGCCGCCTCCGCCGCCTCCGCCCCCTCCGCCGCCTTGCCCGCCGCCCGCTGTAGGACGCGGCTGGGTGCCCACGAGTCCTGCCCAGTGCGGGAGCAGGGGGAGGTGCGGAGGGAGGGGGGGGGAGGGGGGGGTGCACTCGCGGCGCCTCTCGCGGTTGTGATGTGGAGAGGGGGGGTTGTGATGTCGAGATGTGGAGAGAGGGCGCAGCCTTGGAGTGCTGCCCATGGAGTGTGCGTCAATCAGACCGGAAGGGAAGGGTGTGCTGGAGTGACTCCAACACTCCATCCATCGATGGATGGATCCCGACCATGCGAGCGTGGAGGTGGCATGGGCGGGGGGCACGGGGCACAGGCTCGTGAGAAGAGAGAATACAGTAGAGGCGCGAGGGCGAGGGCTGTCTCTCGAGGGAGTGTCGGTTGCGGGGCAGTGTGGCGGGTGGTGGCCGCAGACCTCTGTCTCCTCCGCCCCCTGCTCCGCCCCCTCCACCCACTCCACCTCCGGCTGGGTCGACTCCGGCAGGAGGAAGGCCTGCTGTGCAGTCTGCAGCGCCTTTGCGAAGCTGTACGAAGGCACCTCCTCCTCCTCCGAGTCGTCGTCATGCCTGTGATCAACCATACAGCAGCTCAGGGGTGCCGGAAGCACCTCCCCCCCCCCCCCGCGAGGCCCTCGTCGCGCCACGCGATCTTCAGCCGCGCGGTGACGTCACATGCCCCGCCCCCGCCCCCGCCCTCGCCGCCTCCAAACCCCCGCTCCAACCCCTCCTCCATGCCACACTTCTCCTCGCTCCTCAGCCGGCGAGGGCGGTGGCCCTTGCGCGAGCCGCACCGCCGCCTGATGGGAAGAGACGACTCTGGGACAAGTTGGACTCGAGAGCACGACCAGGGGGGAGAGGGGGGGGGGGGGGCATCCGGCGCCTCCACAGCGCCTGGCAGGTCGCCACGCACACCAGCACGCCTACGCGCGAGAGGAGGCCTCCCGTGAGGGGGCAGTGGCTTGGGCGAGGCAGTGAGGGCTGCCGGGGCGGGAGCAGCCCAGAGGCGACGACGAGGGCAAGGATCACAGCCTTCAAA